GAGTCTGTTGAAATAGACTTAATTAGTGCTGTAAAGAAAAATTCATCCTCTGCGTTTGACCAATCCTTCGAGCAAAATGCAAAAACACTTTAAAACAACGGGGATATAAAGTTGTATTTCTGCACTTTTGTGAGTAGTTAAAGCCCCATTACGTAACTTTTAGCCCAAAAAATTGACTAAAATATAAGAGTTTTTTTTTTTATTGCGCTGAAAATTTGAGAAAAAGCATGCGTACTTACTGTGAGTGGGCTTGCATCTCCACAAAGCTGACTCTTATGTGGCCTTGTCCTGCTTGTCTCCATGGAAATGTTGATTCTTTAGCCATAATATTCCACAGTAGTGCATAAGACTTATTTATCTCCATGGAGAATGTTCGGAAGTATGGTTTTCACTTTCTTTTTCCATGCAATCAGGTGACGGGCCACTAGCTGCATCATGTACTTTTTAATTTATGTACAGTATTTAAAGACATGTATTTGAGAATTCTTTGTGGATTTCAAAAACGTCTTCTGATTATTATTATCCAGATATTCAAAAAGACAACTTAGATTAATATGTGTCAACATCGCTCACTCATAAGTGAAAAATGAGCCAGCTGCAAAGGGTCTGAATAAAATAAGTGGATTATTTTGTGTTATTATTTGGGGATTTGGGAGCAAGCTGTCCATGTTTAAGGTCTGTGAAATGTACACTGAACTGTGTATATTTTGTTGTTCTTGTACCAGTTAGGGTTGTGGTAATACTCAGATTTAAAACTCAATTTCAATATTAAGGAAAAGATACAGATTTCTATACCACCGGTTTTTTAGACAGACAGTAAAAATGTTGTCACGGTATGAACCTCATGATACGATATTTATTGCGATATTTTGTGGAGGCAAACAAAACTGTTAATATGTGACTTTTTCCTCTTAAAATGCCTTGACAAGATTTAATCCAAAGAACTAAGACTTAAAAGTGCTTAGAACTGTTATTCTTGTAGTCTACACTGAAATTAAGCAAAGGATCATGGTCTATGTAGTTCTCTGTCTTTTTTAGCTATTGCTGCAGCATAACTCTTAATTTAAATGCAGAGACTTGTAATTCGATATATTGTGATGGTCCATGATATTATTGTGAGAACTTTGACGATACAATATCATGATATTTCGGTTATTGTTACATCCCTAATATAGACTGTTCAAAAACCAGAAAAAACAGAATCCAATTTAGACTAAAATTTATTAACATTACCCACCCCTAACTGAAATAGTAGGCCAGCTGCAAAGGGTCTGAATAAAATCATAATTTAAGTGGATTATTTTTCCTACTTGAATACAAAGACTTAGTCATAGCCCAGTGGTTCGAGTATTTGGACTGCACCAGTTCTGTGTTTGTTTACACCAGAGTGAATACTGAAGCATTAAATGATTATGACTTCCTCGGTGGTACAAATGACTGTTTGCTTATGTGCAGTAATCTCTCTAATAGCAAGAAGGCTATCATAATATCATGTCATCTCTAAAGACATTCTCATGCCCGGTATCCCTGTGCTACGGATTAGCTAACTCATTGAACCCGGGATTAGCCAAGGAAAAATAAAACCCCCTCTTGGACAACACAAGGAGAGGAGGGGCCACGATGACAGCTAATGGATCGAGACCTACTGACTACTCGTACATGCTAACAAATACTCCTCTTAAAGCTACTTAACCCCCGACATGGAGGTGACAGTCTGCAACCATTTACCATGAACTTTTTGGGCCCCCCGAGGTGAAAGAGTGGCCCCTCGCACTGTCCCGCGTAACATTAAGGGCCCCGGCAGCTGCGCGGGGAGGGAGAAAGCGCCACAGTGTTTTAAGTGTAACCGTAGATGGTTCAGGTCACATGGGACGGTCCACAGAGGAACATGGTGTAATGGGTTTAATGGGGAGGCTAGTTCGGGACATTGTACGTAGGTTAGAAAAATGAGATGTCAGAGGTCTGTACAAAACGCCACACGGATCTGGCTGGGGGATTGTACTTACCCTCTGACCTCACACTATAGTAATGCCTTCAAGTGCAGGCCTGAACAATGGCTGTAATCTCCAGGCTCACATGGGGATTTGGGAGCGGGCTGGCCATGGAAAAGGCCCGTGAAATACAGTGGACTCGCTCCATTTTGTCATTTTTGTAAAGGTTAAAATTGGGATAATGCTGAACATTTTAACTTTATTTTGATATTAAAGAAAAGGCCTGATACTGATTTTTATATTACAATTATAAACAGTATATATTTATTTTTAAATTTTCTACAAAAATAATTTTAAAAAGTAGTTTCTTTAATGTGATCTTATAATTTTAAGGTTGGAGACAGACTATTAAAAAAAAAAAAAAAAAAAAAAAAAAATCCAATGTTGTTATATTTATATTTATGTTTTTTTTTTGTTTTTTTTTTTTTTTTTACACGGGATTGATACTTGTTCAAATGTGTATCTAGTTTCACTTGTAGTTTTCATGTACATATACCTATATACATTTGAAAATAAAAAAGGGAATACATAGATTTTATAATTTTTTTATGCATATGAGGTTTTTTTTTTAAATTATTATTATTATTGTTAGTGAGGTACTGTAAAATTTGTAATTGAAGGATGTTGATAACCCAATATGAAGACATAAATACAATTTTGCCATATTGTCCAGGATGACTTAGTCCATTGCGAGATAGGGCCACATTTATTACTATAGGGAACTAAAGGCAATATTAATTTTAGTAGATACTACTACATAAACATGGACTGTGACATGATAGAAAGAACTATAAGATCATAATTTCATATGTAAATTTGTCCAAAAATTCTGGATCAATGCCTTGACCAATCCACTTTATTTATGCAGCACATTTCACAAACAACACAGTTTCCAAAGTCCAAAATTCAATGCGAATATAAAATAAAGTTCTTTTTTTAAACTCCACTAGTCCTCATTTAGACAATAAAACTAGTCAAATCAAATAAGAACAAAAATACCAATAAATAACAAGGTAAAACCATAAAAATAAATAAAATAAAGTTACAAAAAAAGAAAAAAAGACACAGAGGACCACCCAACTCCACACTTTTTTATAATCCAAGTTGTGAATAGTACTTTAAAACTTCCATTGACAGGTGCTGACAGTTATTTTGCTCTATAAAATTGTCAGACAACACATCTGCTTTGTTGAATAAATCACGCTGGCTCACAGACGTGCATTTTCACTACAATTTGACACGTTGTATTATAATTTTCCTATTGATTGACGTGGCTTGTGGTCCTGTGGTTAGCAGTGTGCTTGTGGATAAACCTTTAAAAAGCCAAACTAGGATAAAGTTATCATAGTATTTTGATGGTATAGAATATCTCCTAAATCAAAGCATTGTGACCAACTTCCTCACCACCCCCACCTGCTCCCCACTCCCCCGACAAAAGCAGTAATTTAAGCAGAGTACCGTGTGCAGCTGGGGTCCTGTCGAGAGACCTATACTGTGGAAAGAGAAATTCCCATAGAAGCCATTATTGACTTTATAAAACCTGGTTCAAAAACAACTGTGGCTTTTAAGAGCTGAACTGTGCTTAACTGTTCCAGGGGCGGGTTTCTGCTTAATTCATCAGCACTGGAGGATTGGCAGGTGATGTGTTTAGGGTCAAAGCAAAAATTGATTTGGGATTATTTTGTTTAGGAGTTGTTAACTTTGAGTGTGGTGAATGTACTCTAATGCATAAAAATACACTGACTGTACAATAGTTTAAGCATTAAAGGCACACTGTGTAAATTTTCTGTTTGTTTCCATGGGGAGGTTTTTATTTTACCTGGAATGTTCCACACTATGGCATTAAACGTCTTCATGGAGACAGGCAGGTCCTGTTATAGGAAGGTCAGATCTTTAAAGAGTTAAGCCCACTATAGCTATGAAAACACCTGGAAATAAATAAAAGATAGATTCCAGGTAAACAATAACATCTCCATGGAGACAAGCAGGAGGCAGACTCAAGAAAAGTTACATAGTGTACCTTTAATGTAACACAGGGCAGTGTTTCTCAAAATGTGGGTTGAGTAACTTTACCTGTATCACAGTTTTGCTTGTGGTACTTTGTTAAATTACACTTTTATGTCCTGATCCCAGTGTTGGGAGTAACGTGTTATAAAAGTAATCAGTTACTGTAGTGCATTACTTTTTGCTGTAACGCAGTAATGTAAGGCATTACAGGGGGGAAAAAAATATATTTTACTCAGTACAAATATCAGATGTCAGCAGATTGTCGGCAAACAGTAGACTGTACGGTAACTGCGAGGGAAAGAACCGGCGCAGAGCTTCACGTCGCAGGGGGCGAATTGCAGCTGACGCACGATTGCTCTTTGCGGACACCCTGCTCCATGGGCTCGGGCGGGCCTAGATTCCTAGTCCAAGATTAGTCCTTGTTTGGTCCTGGTTTAGTCCTTGTTTAGACCTGGTTTAGACCTGGTTTAGTCCTGGTTCAGTTCTGCTTTAGACCTGGTTAATCCTGGTTCAGTTCTGGTTTAGTCCTGGTTCAGTCCATATACTGTGCAAAAGTTTGGCATATTCACACAGTTATTTTGGTGGGAGTAACTTAAAGTGCTGCAGTATTCGTGCAATGTTTTACATTTTAAATACAGTAATATTGTAATGTAACAAGAAATGACAGCAACAAGTCATAAATAATGCATTACAGTTTGAAGTAACTTGCCCAACAGTGCCTGAACCGGCAGACTTTATTGTTTGTCAAGTTACGATTTTCTGCCACTTTACTTCTTGGTCATGTCTTTGATAATTTCTCATTTAGTCTTATTTTTAGATGTGTTTTTAGTCCTAATTTAGACAACGTGGTAAAATGTTTCTCCATTCTACATCCATTTTTGATCCTGCTTCGTTTTAATGGAAATGGCGCATGTATGTTTCATGGTAAAGCTGTCTTGCGTTCTGCTTGTCCTTTTTTATTTACATCACTTCTAACTGTCTCCTCCTTTTCCTCTCTTCCAGGTTCTGTCCCACTTCTGGATCCTTGAGGTGCCCGTCCTGCTCCAGCCCGGGCCCCTCCCTCTCATCCCTCACCCCTCTTCCTCGGCTCACCTCCGCACCGCTGTAGCTTCACGTCCGGCCGCGCCCACCACTCACGTCACCAGGGGGAGCTCCCGAGACCCCCCCTCCCCTGCAGCGGGGGACGGGACCCTGTCATGCTCAAATAACTGATTTTGCGCCCCCACCCCAACCGTCGAATGACAAGTGTGCATCCGAGGGCGGGGCTTGCCTCAGTCTCTCCTGATTGGCTGCTGGATGGAATTGAGGTGAATGGAACACATGCCCAACGAGCAGGACTCTAACCCATCAGAGGGAGAAGAGAAACGGTCAGTGTATAATTTATAACTTTTGTCTGGTTAAAGATACACTATGGAACTTTTCTGATGGAGAATCTGCCGTCTGCATGTCTTCATGGAGATATTATTTCGCCCAGAATATTCCACAGAATGCCATTACACTTTTAATCTAAACTTTTTCTGTGTAGACAACATAGACTGTAAAAAGAAGTGGACTAAGGGAGTGTGACATCACGGGTAGTGTTTGGCTCCAGTCAAATGAAGCTCACAAGGCTAGCAGTTATAGGAGTGAATTTGGAGACAAGTTTCAAAATAATGAAATAAAAACTCCAGGATCATGTAGAGTGGATTAATAACATTTTAAGACCAAAATGATGAGGCTCACAGCAGCAGTTACAGAAAGAGGGGTGATCGTTTTTCAATGTAAAGTCGTTTGGAGCCAGAGTCAATGGAGCTAGAAGTGCCCCTGTGCTCATTTCCTGTTTGGAATGTGGCAGCTAGCGGGTTAGGTACATCCATTTATGTATACAGTCTAAGGTAGACCAGAGGTGGGATCAAGTTGTTGTTTTGTGAGTCTCAAGTAAGTCTTTGACCTCAAGTCTGAATCAAGTCCAAGTCGTCTGCTTTGAGCTTTAAGTCATTTCAAGTCTTTAAACCAAAGTACCAAATACAGCTTAGATTTTTGCAATTTATGTGAATTTTAAACTAAATTGTACTTAAAAAGTTGTAGTATATTTATATATGAGTATTTATGGAGTATGTAAGAGTATGTACATTTTTCCTTTTTAAATGTCTTGACAAGTTCTTAATGTTAATCATATATGGCCAGAAAAGCAAGAATTCAGATTTAAAAGTGCTTCTCAAGTCTTCTCAAGTCACAGGACTGAAGTCCTAGTCAAGTCCCAAGTCAGTGACCTTCAAGTCCAAGTTGAATCCCAAATCTTAGTCCATTTTATCAAGTCAAATCTCAAATTCTAAAAATAATGACTCAAGTCTGACGAGTCCAAGTCATAACTTGCAAGTCCCCACCTCTGAGGTAGACAAGCATGTTACAGGTCAGATCTGAGGAGAGGCGACGTGCAGTTATAGTATTGAGTAATTAGACTATTATGATTATTTCTGAACATCTGCACCTTTTGTTTAAAAGAGACGACAATAAATGCACTGACAGGATTTTGAATGTTAAAAAACTATAATCCCAAACCATAGGGTGAGTAGAATAGTTAACATTTCAAATGTAGCCCTAAAAGTCTGATCAGTTCTGCACATGTAAAGTCATGGAAAATTCACTTAAGGTCAGGAAAAAGTCATGGAAAAGTTTTGAAATTGTGTCAGTGAAAAAGAGTGGGAATAAATGCAAAATAGTTATGTGTAAGCCATGCTGTGGAATATTTCAGGCAAACATCCATGGAGATAAAGACTTGCATATTTACTGTATTAATTTATGTATTTATTTATTTATTAACCCCAAATAGTTTTACCTCCTAAAATACTTCCACTATAAGGTTACAGTTAAATTAATTTGTTAGTGTAAAAGTGGGACACAACAAAATAATGGGGATAAAAGTAGGTCGCACTCAGACAAGCCTTCTTCTATCTATAGTCACACTCGGGGGACAGTGGTTTTTGTTATCAAGAGTAAATGAAGTACATTCTTTGTTGTTAATTGGATTTAGTTACTATAATGATTTTCATGCAAGGTTATTTTCAGGGAGGGTCCTAAACTACACCCACAAAAATGTGAAATTGTTAAAGTGCCCATGTTACACTATTTTCTAGGGTTGTAACAATAACCGAAATATTGTGATGTTGTATCATCAAAGTCCTCTCAATAATATCGTGGACCATCACAATATATTGAATTATAACCTTCTTTGCTTAAATTCATTGTTTTATTGCGGCAACAGCTACAAAATGGAGGAAACTACATAGACTGTGATCTTTTGTTCTATTTCAGTGCAGAAACCATGAAGAAATAGCTGTCATAAAGAACTTTTCTATCTTAATTCTTTGGACATCATGACACTAATATAGCCTCTAGTCAAGGCCTTTTAAAAGGAAAAAGTAGCATTTCTTCAGTTCTGTTAACATCACAGTAAATATCGTATCGTGAATTGAGTATCGTAATTGTATCATATCGTGTGATTTAAATATCGTTACATACCTACTGTTTTCTGATCTATGTTAAAAAGTTGTTTCCTCATCCCAAACATACAGTACCCGGATACTTGTTTTGCTTCATCACACATGCTCTTGTCTCAAACAGAAAACACTCTCTTCCACCTTGTGTTGTAGTACAGGAAGTGCTCCACTGTGTTTTTAAACTCCACACACCTTCACGAGAATCATTTGGATCATTTCAGCTCTGTAACTAGGGATAGCACTCACAGAAAGAAGGTTCTGGGTTCGATCCCTGGGTTGCCTGTGCCTTTCTGTGTGGAGTTTGTGTGTTTCTCCCCGTGTCTGGATGGGTTTCCTCCAGATGCTTCGGTTTACCGCATCAACCCACAACATGCTACACAGGTCTCCAGGAAGAAAAGCTGAAAGCAAAGGTCAATTAAATTCAGTCAATCAATGAATCTGCCCAGGGACTACAGGTGGAAATTAGCTCTGGTGCTGCAACTTGGTACAAACATCTCTCCTGTTAAGGTTAATGTAAATTGTGCACTGTCCCTGTCTCAGTAAATAAACTAAACTAAACTAATGACATCAGAAGGTGGAACAGCTCTCCAGCCTCTTCCCAGTAGCTCGCCAAGGGATTTCGGAATTATGGGTAACACTTTATAATAACTACACCTTATTTAGCCTTAATAAAGCATGAACAAAGACTTAATTAATAATGATTCACTCTTAGTAACTACTTAATTACTACCTGAATTAGCACTTAACAGGTTAAGTGCTAATTCAGGTGGTAATTAATTCGCCTGTGCTATAAAAAGTTACTCATAAGTATTTCTTACTTAATTACTCATGAACTAACCATTTGCATGTGCATTTGTAAATGTATATTTAAGTACACATTTGAGCAATTATTAATGATCAGTAAGCCATGAGAGAATGATTTACTAGTAATGCATTATTGTTTCTCTGGAATTTGACCGACCTTAACAAATGCTTCATAAACATAATTAGTCTTCACTTTAGAAAAGCTCTCAGAAAGACTTAACTAACAGATAACAGCTGCCTGAATGATCATTGCATTGCATTATTAGTAAATCATTCTCTCATGCTTACTATTCATTAATAAATGCTCAAATTTGTACTTAAATATGCTTTTGTAAATATGCAAATGGATAGTTGATGAGTAATTAAGTAAGAAATACTTATGAGTTACTATTTACAGCACAGGCGAATTAAGCACAAGTTAAGTGCTAATTCAGGTAGTAATTAAGTAGTTACTAAGCGTGAATCATTATTAATTAAGTCTTTGTTCATGCTTTATTAAGGCTAAATTAGGTGTAGTTATTATAAAGTGTTACCGTATTATGCTGAATAACTCAAAAAGTATTAACTACGTGACTGTTACCACTGGTGATTAACTCTGTGCACTAATGAACGGATAACGGTTTATGTTGTTTAGGCATCTAACTGTACCCCATCTAAGGCTTGCCCTCTTTCTTATATCAGTTTCTTGCAATCCGTAAAAGCAGCTCACCAAAGGAAAAACGCTCGAGACCCCTGATGTACACAGACTAATAGTAATAGGATAATGGTAATAGGACTACTAGGATTATTCAAACATGTAGAGCTAACAGCATTATAACATGGGTAAAAGCTCAGAGTCAGTTTAGAGTAACATGTTTTAGTGTATTTTGACATTCAGTAAAGGCAACCACATGAGGAAGTAGAAGTGAAAACTGTTTTTATATATTTTTTTCTCTCCTACAGTCCAATTACTTCTTATAATTTGTAAATGTACGTTGTCAAAGAGAGAAAGTACCTGGTCAAATCAGGGCCAATCACTGGACTTTACCTTAGGGGAACTTCAATGATAAGCGTAACCGTGACAACCGTTTAGTATCTGACTACAACGTAATCAAATGAAATGGGTCTCTAATCTTCCTCGGGTCACTGTATGCAATAGTATAATGTAATGTAGATATAGGCTCAACTTAAATACCCCTTTCACCTTATTTATTATCACATAAAATTAAGGACACTGCACTTCCATCCATAAAACACAATAAAGGATCCGAGAATCTGATAAAGATTTCACAGATAAGTCTTTTCTTCTTGATAAACCGGGCAGCTGGGACTAATCTTTCACAATTTCCACGTTGTTCCTGAACTTTGGTGTTTTTTTATGACGGTCACGCTGTATACGTCTACAACATTAAAACCAGTCTGGGCCATCAAAAGGCACGGAAAATGGAAGTCACAAGATTTCTTACGTGTGTCTACATCAACGGTAGATCACGAGATAGGGCTGAACTCCCGGGCTTCGGGGTTTACGAGTTGAACCAGAGATTATGTATAGGAAAATAAGACAAAACATGGGGTGACATGGAGGGCGAATAGGTCAGAGAGTTTAATTTAATTTGTAAGACTATTTCCGTTAGTTATGAATAGATTTGAAGTGACTGTACCTGATTTTTTTTCAGTCTAGTTCAGTATATATTAAAAAAAAAGTTTACCTTATTACAGAAATATTGTAAAAGCAGCTCTTAAGGTAGAAATGAGACCAGTGTGTGTTGTCAGCAGAGGTGGAACCAAGTCGTCGTTTTGCAAGTCTCAAGTAAGTCTCAAGTCTTTGACCTCAAGGCCGAGTCAAGTCCCAAGTCAAATACAGGGAAGTCCAAGTTGAGTCTCGAGTCACTGGCCCATAAGTCCAAGTCAAGTCCAAATCATGTGCTTTGAGCTTCAAGTCATTTCAAGTCTTTAAACGGAAGTACCAAATATAATATAGCTTAGATTTTTGCAATTTATATGATTTTTAAACTAAATTGTACTTTAAAAAAAAATCATAGTATATTTACAGTATTTATAGAGTATGTAAGATTTGTAGAATTGTAAAAAATTTTCCGTTTTAA